AATGTGGACGCCGCGGGTCGTCCTGCTCGGCTATTCAGGCTCTGGACGCAAAACCATGGCCCAGATGCTGGCCAAGAAGTATGATCTCGTGCCGGTTCATTGCGGCACCCTTATTCGCACTGAAGTCCTCAAAGGCACCAAGCTGGGTACGGCTATGTCGACGTACACTGAGGCCAGGCTACCAGGTAGGTATTCATATGCCTCAGTTTCGCTTTTCCAATTGCGTCTGCCTATAATGCTCATCGAACCATGGGGCAATCTGCCTGGAACTATTTTGTATGGCGTCATGACCATTTTTTGCAGCTAGCGATCAAATGGTGGATAATGATTTGACAACACTGATTGGTGAACGCCAATAGATCGTTCTACGGGACATACTCGTGGCGGTTTGCGTTAATGCCATTTCTTTGCTTCCTACGATTCGTCCCTCTAAAATCGTAGGCGTCTATCAACAAACTCTCGTAGGTTGACGTTTGTCCAGAATGGGGCAAGGATGGCTTGTATGGTCACCTAACGGCCTTCATTTGCCATAAATGCCTACTTAAGGTTAGTAAGTAGGTGGGATTTGATTTTTGTTTACTCTTTTTGTGTGTTGCGTTTTGGATATATGGGAATGGGTTTAGCCAGAGTCCCGTAGCACAACTATTCGCCCTGACATAAACCAACTGTAGGACTTGAAAATTTCCGGATGCGTGATCTATAGAATGGCTGCCCTCAGGACCGTGTAGAATGTCGGCTTTTTCAGTTCATACTTCACGGAATGACTGCATCCGCTACGCCGTGAGACTTGCCAATATTTCCAATTGGTTATTAAAGGATTAGCCGTTTCTAATATTTAATAGGGTTTTGGTTAATACGGTTCGTAATCCAAGACAGTTGCTGCATCGAGATCGTTCTACGTTTTGTAGTCTTCCCTTATTAATACACAGTTAGGGTTAGCGATAAGGTAATTGGTAGGATACTGGTTAGTGTAACGGTAAGCCTTAGAATTGATAATAAGTTTAGGAGTGGAATAGTGGGTAGTGTTTATTGTAGGGATGGGGTAAGAGCTACAAATAGGGTGAAGTGTAAGTTTGAGAGTAAAGGTGATTTTATAATTCAGTTAGGCCTAATTATTTGCCTATATGACAACCTAAACCGCTGGAATCCTTTACCACCATTGCTCAATTTGCTTATTTTCGTATTTACTTTTAAAGTTGGTCAGTCATACAAGTCCTCCTTCACCGCTAGAATTCGCTTCTCCCGGCAGTTGGCAAGCTACTGTCACTTCAAAATGTTCCCCTGCATCATAAACCTGAGCGCCGCCAGCCATGACGTGCACTCTCCAACCTACGACAGGTTTGAATCACCTGACTCTGTCCTCTTAAAAGGCAGAAAGGAAAAAGAAAGAAAAGACTTGCTGAACACAAATCTCCGGAGTTTAGCCGCTTACCAATCCAACTCCAATTCTGTCATTAGGATTTAAAAATACTTCAGAGGATCGAAGAATCGCCCTTTTCGCAAAAGTTTGCTCGGCGATGACGTTTACCATACCATAAGATGCTTGCTTATTTTAATTACGTAGGCACTTTATAGTAGATGAATTTTCTGGCTGACCTTAAAGAGCTAATTGAGGGCTTTTTTAAGTCAAGGTTGGGTTAAGAATTAGGGTTGAGGCGGATTTCCTGCTTTTCCTCCACTTACAAGTCCCTTATTTACATATTTAAAATTGCGCCTCTGCTCCGA